CTGCCCCCACCGGGATTCTAACCTCATGACCTAATGGGACCTCTCGAGTCGGCGACACCTTGAAACCCGGCGTACAAACCACTCGGCCATGGAGGTCGTCAGAGTCTAAGGCCCGTATTATAGAAATATTCTCAGTGATTGATTTAGTCTTGAGCATTGTTAGAAAGGGATGTCGCTATATATAGTATAGAGTGACACCCCTTTCTAACTGTACTTAAGTAAAGATCAACACTTTGTTGTCATTCTGTAATACGAGCCTAAGTGTCGCCGCACACGGGCCACACGCCACAGCCACAAACGCCGCCACGGGAAGCTAGAAGCGGCTACTAAAGTGGCTGAAGCGCGCGACAGCGCGAGTGACGTGTGGCGGCGTTTTGTATCGGCGCATTAAGTGGCCGGTGCGGGCTACAAGAAGGGAGCAACGACGATTTGTAGCGTGTGGCGGCCACCGGCGTACCGTGTGTGGCGAGTCCATATAAAATGTATGAAAACTACAAGAAATATGCCGGTGGCGGCGTTTTGTGGTTGTGGTCGGTGGCCCGTGTGCGGCGACACTAAGTGAGGTAGTCGGATACTAGTAAATTTTCTCACGTAATTCTAAACTAAAATTCACGGTGTATATAGTACAAAAAGAAAGAATTATAATAAAAGTAAAATCAACTACATTTGGAATCAGAATCATGCTTGTCAAACAGATCTGATTTGTCATCTACTGTATTGGTTTAGCACCGACTCCAAATGAAGTTAATATTTAACTATACAATTCGGTAACTGAGGATAAGAATTATTCATGATATGTATGTTTTTTTACGACCTAGAGACCCGTGACTTACGAACAGACTGACGACAGGGAGACAGCAACAGGGTTCTGTTATTACCCTTTAGGTACGGAACCCTAAAAAGTGAAAGCTAGAGATGTAATAAAAAACGTGGTGTCTTTTTTAAACACACTCCAATTAGCCTAGCCCCAAAGTAAGCACTGTAGGCTTGTGTTATGGGATACTAGGGTAACGAATAGAATACATATTACTAATACATATATAAGTAGGTTTTTATAGAGATACATATTACATATCCATGACTGGAGTACAAATGCTTCTATTCATCACACAACTTCTGCCTCCACTGAGATTCGAACGCGGGACCTCTCGAGTAGGCGACACCTTGAAACGCGGCATACAAACCACTCAGCCACGGAGGTCGAGTTCACAGCTCAAGTGCTCAAGCTCAAGCTATTCGCCTTCGCCGGAAAAGGTCATCAGAAATTCTTGCTTTTATGACTCCCGTACACGGCACAAGTTTTTTCCACCGTTTGTTAGCAGTGCAAGCTGTACATCTATGGAATACTCTTCCGGTTTCGATAAGACGTGCGGAAACTATTTATACATTTAAAAACCATCTGAATTCCCATTTTCTGACATTGTAATACTTTTCTTTTAATATCTGATGTGCTTACAACTGCCTCCTAACTGGACAATATCAATGTATGTTTTTGTATTTATACTTATTGTATTGTATTTATTTTATGTATATACTCATACACATATAAGATATATATATATATATATATATATATATAATATGTATACCTTATATGTCCGCCCATTGCATCACGTGTACTAGATAGTTTCGTACTTAATGTTCAATGTTTTTTGTGGTGTACAATAAAGAGTTTTTGTATTGTATTGTCGAGGTTAAAACGAAAATGGACTGGTCACATCCAAAGAGACACCGATAGGTGGTTTTTTTTTATATGAAGCGTAACAAATTACCCCTTTCCGCCTGATTTTAAGTATAAGTGGAGTCTAGTCGCGAAGACAGATGATGGAAAAGAGAACGTATGCCACTCCAGCCATCTTCACCTTGCCGGCCTAAATCCAATCCCGTACCCCGTGGAGTCCTGGAACCCGACTCATCAGCAGAAACAAAACACCACCAAAAGTTAGTGTTATTTTACCGTGGTCTTCTGTAAGGTCCATTATCACCCACTTATCCGCGCTGGGTCCGTTATCACATACTAATCCACACTGGGTCCGTTATTACCCACCAAGCACGAGATTTATGTATTTTGTGATGGGTATTGTTCATTGTTTACCGATGAGTCACCGATGACACTAATCGTAACGCGAAATGTGTCACACATTCGCCAGTTTACTCACCAAGTCAAGCGTACCTAAAGATGTTTCACTTCGAAAATGTGAATATCAAGTTCCCAATTAGCCCTAATGAAACTAATTATTTCATTATTATAAATGTACATATATTATTAACCTCATACTTAATATTAAGGCACTAATGTTTATATGTAAACAATTAATTTCTTTATAAGTAACAAGTGTTTTCTTTTCTATCGCTGTGTTCATAAAAATGAATTTGATAGGCGAACATCACGTTTCTGAAGTGCAACCGTTTAAATTGCTGAAGTATCGGGAGCTCACAATGAGTAAAACATGTGGTAAATATCCCGTTATTATAATATATATTTTTTCATAAATGTTAACAAAGTTTTAGTTTGCGAGATTTAAAAAGTAGGGAAATTGATGATTTACCCTACATACCCTATATACTCAAATCACGCACACTACGATTAGACGTGGTTACGTCCGTCTTTTTTTCAGGTCCGTGGTTAAAAGTAAATGCTGGTGCAAAATCTGATTTTATCAAGTAGTCACAACTAATAAAATTAAAACAATTTACTAATTAAAACGAAAAAATCACCCAACAAGGAAACAAAACCAAATGTTGTGTTGAATGTATAGCGGGTTAAAATTACACACCTGAGGGGAAAATATGTCTTCATTAACAAAGTGCTCATTATAGGTATCAGATATCCGACGCAGAGGCGCACGGATACCCGCATTTGAACGACGTTTACCGATTGCGAAAAATTTGCGGTTCCGAGAGGTACCTCTCGCCTATGTACTGTTCTTGAAGCAACATAACAAATTTTGTTGGTTAACCCATTGCAGTCAAATTTATTGTTAATAAATACGTGCAATGTCATACGCTCGAGCATTATTCGTCTTGATTTTAAGAAACTGAAGATTATACCTACATAATATCTGCTCATATGACAAGTACATACCAAAACACACCCCCTTATTAATAAACAAGGAATAAGTTTAGACTAGTTACGCCACATTTTGTTCAAGTCACTCAAATGCCATTTCTCATTCAATAGACAGAGACAAAACATGGAGTAACTCATCCAAGCGTAGTCTTCGTTTATTAATAAGAGGGCATTGATTTCAGAAATTTTTATTGGACTGTTTCTATTATTTTAACATACTTATTATATAATGGATTCCATATAGGTACTGCGTATTCCAAACGGAAACGAATGAGGCTTTATAAAGATGCAAGTAGGTCGAAATATTCTTAAAAGCCTTGGATGACCTCATAATAATACCATACATTTTATAATTATGCCTTCCTAACGATTTCCACGATATGAAGGTCCAGATGCAATTACTCCTCGAGTGTAATGCCAAGATCCCGTATAGATGAGACTTTATTTAATTTTGAGTTACAAATGGCATAGTCAAAGCGCAGGATGTGTTTTTTCTTTGTAAAACTGATATAACAACATTTTGCTATGTTTAAGTGTAACTTATTATGATTGCAAAATATAGATAAACTATTTCAATCATTCTGGACTAGGTCACAATTAGATATGGAGTGAACAGATTTAAAAAAAAATAGATCGTCTGCGCATAATAGGAAATTACAGTTATGAAAGCATTCCCTAATGTCATTAATAAACACTACAAATGAAAGTGGACCAAGTATGGAACCCTGTGGCACCCCTGACGTCACTTGTATGCTATGCGATTGAAATCCATTGATAACGACCCTTTGAGTTCTATTTGTGAATTAAGAATAAAACCAGCGAACCAATAAATAATATCCATTTTCTTGGTAACCCAATTGGGTACGCATTTAGTTTATGACCTGGATTGAGACAATAATTTGTGTCACGGAAAAATCTAAAGAAAATTCTACTAGAAAAATTCACGCGAACCAGGCAGCAAATGGGACTCGAACCCCGAAAAATGTTAGGTTGATGTGGGATTCTCTAAAAAATCAAGTTGACGCGGACGAAGTCGCGGGCGGCCGCTAGTTAATTTATAAATATTAAAGAGAACTAAATTTGTGAGGTGAAAAATAAAAGCTTTATTTTACACGCCCGAGTAGCGGGTTCAAATCCCGTCTAAAATCTGGATAGAGTGTTATTTTTCTATTAAATATTCATTAAATTAAAACTTCTAGCAGTTACTCGTAAATGCTTAAAATAAAAATATGATAATTAAGGCTTTATTATCATCATTACTATTTTGAGTGAGAACAGCAATATGGTGTTATTAATCTAATTTTTTATTACATATATATATACTTACCATGCTTTACCAGTCGATTATTCATGAAATCCTTATATATGGGTATGTTAAGAGTAGTTTAATGAAATAGCACATTTTAAAAATAAAGTACACAAATAAATAAATAATTCAACGAAAAAACCCTTTACAAATATTAATATTTAATCACATTATACAAGGATGTAATTAAAAGTTTGTATGTAGAAAAATTTATAATAAGTTTTTTGTGAAAAAGTTAAATTACCTATCTATAAAGTAGTCTCTTCAAAGAAATCTTGACACCATTTTGAAGAGATTAAAAAAAAATATAATTCAGTTGCATTTTAGATAATGTTTCACCGCAAAATATAATATACTAGCACAAAATTTTCACAGATAAGTCGATCATGAAAAGTCGTAATTTTTCTTTTTCTTAACTCATTTGAATAGGTACTAAAAATAACACAGATACATTTTTATTTTATAAGCACTTAACTGGTACATATTTGAATTAAAAAAAAAATACTAGAAAAAAATCCACGCCCGTCCCGTCCAGTCTGCAGCTAAAATTTTCTTATACGCCAAATAATTATCACCAAGTCTTAAAGTACACTAAAATCATAAAATTAATAAAAATATACTTACTTCGTTATTGGCATAGCAGAAAAACTCAGTTCCAAAACTTTTAAACTTTACACACAACCAAATTTACAGTCCTATTCCATACACTTCGAAAATCACTAAAAACCTTTTTTTTTTGTCGAGTTTAACTATCACATCAACAAAAAAAACTATTATTCAAATTAAGAAAACTTTTGAATAAAGAACGGCGGACCAAACAGGTTTGTCGCTAAACTTTGTTCGGATTGCGAATCGTCCCTCGCGCTAGGCATGCACAAGCGGCGGTGTACGAGATTCAACTAACTGCGATGCCCAACGCCGTACGACGCGAATTCCTTTGCCCGAGCTAGCTGGTTGGTACGTGCGTCTATGAAGTTATCAAAGCATAAATATCTACGTGCATATTCTCGTTTTCATCAACACTGCGATAAATGTATTGGGAAATTATTATAAATAGTCTCGAGCGATATAGGTAGGTGCGTGCGTGTAAAGTTGTGGTTTTTCTTTGTTAAATGCGTAACTTCTCCGTCCGTTTTTAATGACAAAAACCAAAAGTGTTCCGTTCGCAGAAATTTTAAACACATTTTTAAACCTAATCCAAATTTGTTTCATGTACCGAATTGTAGGTAAATCAATTACTTTTCGTGTTAAAATGTTGCGTGTGTCACGCTCGAAATAATATATGATCATTTAAATATATCGGACATATAGTTTAAGCTTTTCAGAGTAAATTTACGTAGATAGAATAGCCCACTATAAACTTAGAGTGTGCCAGTCTATATTGGACGGGAAAGGAACCAAAATCAGGCAAACTATAAACTTTTGATAGATTTTTTCAAAGATTTTGGATTTTTCTGTAATCTACAAGCAAAGAGTTACACTCCATGATTTTTTTTTCAAATTTTAAGTCGCATTAGCTTCGTAGGTCCATTTTCATCTTTTTAAATATATTTTTAAACTAAACATATTACATGTGTAAAATAATATGTTTGATACGTGCACATTGAGCCTTTTCTTTTGATCTATAACACGATACAGTTAGCCAAATTTCCTCCCCAAATGTAACCCCTATATTTGGAATTAGTTTATTTCCTTTATTCAGTCAGCGTATTAGGGGTTACAGACATATGTAACAAATTCAAACTCGATAAGTCCAGTAGATTCCTATAGAAAACCGAGAGATCCTATTGCCGATTGTCGTACGGACCCAAAAAAAATTTTTTGTTCGTTAGTTATTTTCAGAATAAATATTTGAAATCTCGTATCCTGTCCTACAAATACGGCTTCAGTGTTTTTAGGGAAACTAGGTCTATAGACTTACATAAAATCAAAGGTCTATGTGTAGAGCACGGAGGATTTGTCACTGTAATTGGACAGACTGTCTGTAGAATAATATCGGAAGCGTTATTGCGATATATATTTGTTTTTAATTCTTTTCATTATATAGTTCATTATAGACATCAGTTCTAAGACTAATTAAGTTTGTGTTTTTTGCATTCGACGTTGAAAGTGTCTGCCAATAGAAACTGCTGATGAATATGTCTGGCAGTATTAATTTCAAATTGTTTACAATATTCTTCACAACATACGTAGCCTGAAACCTATTGGTTTCAGGATGTAAGTAAAGTGAGTAAAAATTTTTACTGTGCCACCTGATGCCTGAAAATATGCCCACAGCACAAGTTAGTGAGTATGTATACTACTCAATTATCCATATTTTGTCCATCACAAAAAAAAAGGTTTGGCGGTCTTCTGATTTTGTACTATTATAAATGTATGAGAACGGCTTCGAAGTTACACACTGCTAATAACGCCGCAATAAAAGTATGACGAAATATCGCAATAACGCATCCGATATTTTCGACCGATAATAATGGGCAGGAAAAGGCTGTTTGTTACCTTTATCAGAAAGGAGTTTTCAGACAAATACCACTGTTCAGAAGGTCTACCCTCTGTTTAAGAAACGAATGTAGTTCAAGCGATATTTAATTTCATACAAAATCTTATGGTTTCACGCACAAAAATCAGTAGCTGCAGCAAGTTTAAAGCGATTTAAATTAACTTTACATTGTTGAGGTTCCGAAGCCTATAAAGTGTAGTGATCGCAAGATCGGTCATCAATTTGAAGGCTAAAATTTCGAACGATAAAATGTCAAATTAAATTTTTCTTCGTAGGCATACGACCCGTTTTAATAATCAGACTCTAGTAAAAGGTAATAGTAGGGAAGCCCAAGCGGGGATTTTTGGATTTACTCGAGCGTGGCAGATTAACATATGGGGGGGGGGGGGCAACTTTGGCCCTTGCGAAGTACTCCTACCATACTTGAACTCTCTATGTAGTGGCGAACGTATATATATTAAACATCCATGACTGGAGTACAAATGCTCGTATCTGCTATTTGCTTGGGCCGTACGAGGGTTAGAATCTAGGAAAAACAACGAGCGCGTCAGACATTGAGAAGGATTGTTACGTGAACCCTCCGGTACATCCTATTTAAAATACTGACGATTTGGACGAGACCAAAAGCCGTGGCAGTTTGTTGATTTTTTATATTTTTTATTTGAGCACTACAGAGAGGACTCAGGTATGGTAGAGTATTGCACAAGGGCCTAGGTTGCCCCCCCGATATGTTAATCTGCCGCGCTCGAGTAATTCAAAAAATTCCCTGTTGGCCTTCCTACTATGAGGATAATCTGGTCCCGTTTCTTCGCAACGGTTGTTATTTTAATCTTATTAATAAAAATATCTTAGCAACAAGCTCGAGTAGGCCTACCTCTTACTGGAGTTTTATTATTGAAACTGGCCGTTAGAGATTTATACCTTAAACTATTTTCGGATGAATACATCTGACGAACGAATTGAAACGAATCGGAAACAGAGAGAAACGTACGAAGTAACGATAGAAATTTTCATTATAGTTAAAATAGAATAACTTTTGTCACAGTTCCATGGGATGGGTTGGCAGTTAAAATTGAGAATTGCACGGTCAATATATTAATTACAATGTTTCGTAATATAATAGCAAAACTACGAAATATTACATTAAATTAACTGAACATAATAAATAAGAAATTAAATTTGTGAATAATTTGTCAGTCTGGGAATGCGTTTATGAAATGAAATTATTCCCAAATTGCTTGATGTTACTATGTACCCTACCTACGCTTTAAATTTCTTAGGTTCAATATTTTGTATCGAGTTGGAGACAGTGTAACAGAAGGACAGTGTAACGAGAGGCACAGTGTAACATATGGAACATCTCTGTATAAACCCGCTTCACATTCCTGCCAAAACTACGCCAACATTGACCAATACGGGAGTGTGGCGCAAGTATTGGTCTATATTGGCGTTGTTTTGTGGATGTTGGCGTAGTCTCGAGTCCGTGTCGATAATATCAAAGAGTTCTTGGGTAGTTTTGTGTATGTAAGACAATCTCTACACATTCTCAATGTTGCTCATCATGCCAGCCGGTTGAACTCAGCTTTTTTCACAAAAACATGCACGTATTTGTGAAAAGTTTTATTTTTATTTTTATATTTGAATGAAATATTAAATGCGGTTTACGATTTATGACGTATTCAAAAAGTACTTACTAGATCTCGTTCAAACCAATTTTCGATGGAAGTTGGCATGGTATATTTTGTTTTAGTTTTATCATTCTCTTATTTTACAATTTACAGGAGATGTGTCAATTCTAAAATTTATCTTTTTGATACGGAAAAAGTGGCTGTGACATACGGACAGACAGGCAGACAGACATCACGAATCCTTAAGGGTTCCATTTTTTGCCATTTGGCTACGGAACCCTAAAAATGACTACAAATTGAACCCATGAACTTAAATACTTATTATTTACAAACTTTGTCAAAGCCGTCCTATAATAAGGGACCAGAAAGAACTACTGCGTTCAACCTGATAAATTCATTTCAGGAACTACCAAAGTACCAAACAATTATAAGTATTTTATAATTATAGATAACAGCAGATATTTTCACGGCTGTCCATTCTGTACGGCCGTCTATTTTCAATTTAGCCGACCGGGAATGTGGAAAGCCTGTCTCGTGTACTTTCGTCAACGCTCCTTCTCGACCAAACGTTTGGCCGAGACCTCACATCGAGAATGTGCGCGGGTTAGCGGGTTTTATACCCGGAAATTTGACGTCTGTTGATTGCTGCTGAAGATGGCGGCACATGAAACTAATAAAAAACGTATAACGACTCGAACGCCGCACGGTTATATTTAACTTTCGACTCCAACACTTCTGACATAAGAATTAAAGTGGTGCGCGTACGCGAACTGAACTGTGTGTATTTGATTAATTAGCAGACCATAGACAAACAAGAAAAGGGAAGAGATATTTTGTATATTACACTGTGCCCCTTGTTACACTGTCGTCTACTTGAAACAACTGTTATTTTTGAAATTCTGTTTTCATTAAAATTATCATTAGTTTTCCCTGTAATGGCGGACTTAGGACTATATGTAAGAAAACTTTTTAGAGCCGGCAATTTGACATCAAACACAATTCTATAATAACGAATTTCAGGTGAAATTTAAAATTTGTGTTACCAGTTAAGGATGTTGATAAGAGTTTAAATTTGTGCTTTAGATGATTCATAAAAAAAATGATATTTCAGACCACAGAACACAGAAAGAGGTAAGAAGGGCCTTGTGAGCATGCGCGCCACAATTATTGTGAGAGCAAATGCTCATAATTGACCAAAACTTAGTTCTGATTGCCTCGTTACTCTAGAGTGTGAGCGCTGATTGGTTTAGTTGTTTGATTTGCATTTTTTAATTGTCTATTATCTAATAGGTAGAAGTGAAGTGGAGGTGAGCCGGCGACATCGGTTCCCTTACAAACTGTCTATGATCACCCTTCTGACCTCTTTCTGTGGACTGTGTTTTCGATACATCCCCGGTTTGTTTTCGTGTTTTGAAGCATCAGTTACTTATTTTCACAATTGAATTCCAATTTATTTCGGGTGGTAGGTAAGAACGAATTGAGATATATAAAAAGGTTCTAAATACTAATACTCATACTTACGCGATTCTACGTAAGTACTTATATTGATATAAAACCTACCATCGATACATTTGGTTCCTTTGAATACGTTTACAAATTATTGACAGGAAATGAAGTGTCTCAAAAGTTTAGTTATCAAGTAAGAAATAGATGCTTAGATATATAGGTAGACCGCTTAACTGAGTCCTCATCTGCGGGGTAAAGGGTGTGGGGGGACTAAAACGGAGACTGTGAGACGCGCGGGCGGCAGGCACATTCTTGTCAAAATTACA